CTAGTAGAGAAATGCAAATTAAAACCTCAATGAGATATCACGTCACACCAGTTAGGATGGCCAACATCCAAAAGACAAACAACAACAAATGTTGGTGAGGTTGTGGAGCAAGGGGAACCCTCCTACACTGCTGGTGGAAATGTAAACTAGTTCAACCATTCTGGAAAGCAATTTAGAGGTTTCTCAAAAGACTCAAAATAGAAATACCATTTGACCCAGGAATTCCACTCCTAGGAATTTACCCTAAGAATGCAGAAGCCCAGTTTCAAAAAGACATATGTACCCCTATGTTTATCACAGCACTATTTACAATAGCCAAGAAATGGAAGCAACCTAAGTGTCCATCAGTAGATGAATGAATAAAGAAGATGTGGTATATATACACAATGGAATATTATTCAGGCATAAGAAGAAAACAAATCCTACCATTTGCAACAACATGGATGGAGCTAGAGGGTATTATGCTCAGTGAAATAAGCCAGGTATCAAATGAAATAAGACAAGTATCAAATGATTTCACTCATATGTGGAGTATAAGAACAAAGAAAAAACTGAAGGAACAAAACAGTAGCAGACTCACAGAACCTAAGAATGGACGAACAGTTACCAAAGGGAAAGGGACTAGGGAGTATGGGTGGGAAGGGAGGGATAAGGGGGAAAAGGGGGCAAAAAGGGGCATTACAATTAGCACACATAATGTAGCAGGGGGAGACATGGAAGGCAGTATACACAGAGTAGGCAAGTAATGACTCTATAGCATCTTACTACACTGATGGACAGTGACTGTATTCGGGTATGTGGGAGGGATTTGATAATAGGGGGAGTCTAGTAACCGTAATGTTCAAGTAATTGTACACTAACGATATCATAAATAAATAAATAGTAGTTACCTGTGTTTCCTCAGCTATGTCAGGGGGTCCTGGCACATGGTAGGCATTTAACAAACGTTATTGAATTGACTGAAAGCTGGAGAAAAACATTCTTAAATCTTTACATCTATGTTATATTTCAACCCTGACATAAATTGAGCTGAAAACATTGAATACTGAAACAGCCAAATTCATCCTAACAGTTAAAGTATGCAGTCGTAACTTCTGGGCCAGGTGCATGCTGAAGACATCTCAGTGGCACACAGGAAATACAGAGAATAAGGATCCTCACTAGCAGGAAGGCATTGTCCATGAAGCTTCATTTCAGAAGACATTCTTGTTCCTGACGTGGCATGTCAGCAAAATTCAACATGCCAGTGCACTCAGATATTTTTCAGAAAAAATTCACATGGAAAAAATAGAACACGTCCCCATTAGAAGACACTAACATCTCTAGATGAGTCAAGATTGTACAACAATTTGCACTAAAATTCAGGCGGGAAATAGGTGCAGCAGTTTTTTAGACACTAACACCAAAGGAACCCTTTTCCATACAATTATGTGGCTTCACAATTTGAGAGTCAGAAGAAAACACAGGTGGTCTGCCTACTCGGTGATGGTGGTCCTGAAGCTGCACCTGCTGGGTGCTCTCCCAGGGCCCAGGCATGATCCTTCCACCTCTTGTATCAGTGAACACTTGTCACCAAACTTGAACATTAGTAAAAAAGCATTTTAAAAATTGGCAATTCCCTGCCTCTGCCTCTGCCCTGCCCCTATAATCGGATTCAGTGAGCTCATCTCACTTTGAGTCCTACAGAACCAGAGTCTTTGAAATACAACTGATATTTGTGTTTTCAAGGTATACACACCCTGTTTTTCAGAGAAGGGAACCCATACCATCCAGGACAGAAGCTAAGAGCGTGCCACAGTGGATGAAAACCTCTACTGCAGGAAGAGCTGCTCAATGTGGCTTTGGGGTGTATGTCCTAAATTGCACCTTTCAGACAGGAAGCCTGGTATCTGTGCTACATTCTGTG